CTTTTTATAACTAAAAACCCATAATTACAACTTAGATGCAGACTTTTGAATAATGTGCACACGATCAAGGTTCGATTTATATATGCCACAAAAAATTTGTTAATTAAGAGTTAAAATTGTCAATCAGCTAAATTTTAATTACAGGATTTTTCTTGCAACTTATCGTGTCCGAAATAATGCATGCTAAAGAAGGATTGGACTGCAGAACAATGAGTGGAAAAAAGTTGTGGTACTCATAACATTATATATAAGTATAATCATGTGGGGACCAAATGTATATTACTTTATGTACTTTGCGAGTCTATCGGAAAATATTTTTTGGCCTAGTTGCATAAATATAATTGACACTGGTTTTGGGTTTTTGTGGTGAACAACAAAGTACCCACAATGGCCACATGCAGGTACTATTCGAACTGATTATGTTATTATACAGAATGAATTTTGGCGTTATCAAAAATTATTTTGGCACTAGCAAAATTTTAGGATTTTTCTCTTACTTTTTTGATAATTTCTTGCTAGGTGATTAAAATGAACTAAAGATAATTTATGTTTATTTATTTGTATTTCCACAATAGTGTAGGAAAGATATTAGGAGCTCGGTATCTAATAATACAATGAGTTTGATTGCTTCGAAAAGTGAATTCAGGATGTTTTACGGAAAGATCTACTAAGATTTGAAAGGTTTTTCATTTATTAAAATTTATTTTTCTTGGAAAACATGAATTCTGAAAATCACCAAACAAGATTATGATTTTGGAAAACTTCTTGGATCTCATGAGATTGATATGAGTTGGGATAATGTTCTTATATATCATTCTTATATATAGGATCAAGAAATTTGAGAGAACCACATTTTCAATATTGAGTTCATCGAGTTTTAGTATCATCAAGTGATCATGAGACCTTTTCTTGTAAATAATTAATTAATAATTTTGATTATAGTTTCGTAAATTGCTTAAAGGCTAAGTCGCGAGACTTTACAATTTGAATAATTAAGGCGAATACTATAATCTGGTTGAGATAATTAGTATTCTGGCATAGATGGACTGATGGTAGATTTAAGAGAAAGTCATGTATTTATAATAAAAAATTATGCATTGTGAGCATTATCTTTCCATTATAAATTATAATATATGTTAGATCATATGCACACTCTTACTCCATCACATGAACTTATCCATTTTATCAAACTGGTTTACAACCAAGCTAACTGAATCATTTGTTTTCAAAATTTTAGTATGATTCCTTTTATAATCATTCAATCAATCAGTAATCATACAATCAAACTGATTTGTTGAATTATTAAATAAATCATTTCATGACAAATCAGTATGACTGGGATCTGATGGGGTGGGGAAAATGGGGAATTTTTTACAATTGACAGCCATTGGTACACCTTGGATGATTTTGGAGCGCACTCATCGGGTGTCGGATAAAAATGGACACCAGTAGTGGTGGGTAGCCTTGCACTGATCCAAATCCAACTGCTCCTCGTAGTGATAATAATAATAATAATAACTGTTGGAAAAATACGCTGAATTTTTCATGAAATCGGATCTATAAAAGTGAAATAAAAAAAAAAAAATTGAACACACCAAATTGATAACGGAGTCTAGACAATAATGCCTACGTCTTCGGACTGCTGCAGATATTTTCTTAGGAAGAAAAAATACTCTCGTATTTACAAAACACTCTCAAACTCACTCACAACTCACAACATAAATACACACAGAAGCTAAATATTTTGCTTCTTTTCACTCTCTTCTTTTCTTTCTTTCTCTCTTGTGTTGGTGTAATTGATGTGTATCAGAACCCCTCTATTTATAGAGGGGAATTGCAACATTTTTCTATAAAGATGTACTTCATTTTTTTAAAAAAATGAGCACGAGGGCTGCTGCTGCATTCTTTTTTCTTCCTTTTGTTGCTGTGCAGGAAAGTGGCTTGCAGCCTCTTTTTGACTCAACAATCTCCCACTTGAGGACTGATTTCAATATGTCCTCACACCTCAATTACTGCAGTAGTCTTCTCCGGTCTGTTATCCTAGCAGGCCAACTGAAGTTGAGCACAACTTCAGTTTGTCAATGGTCACCACCTTCGTTAGCATATCTGCCGGGTTCTTGCTTCATACAATCTTTTTTAAAGTCAACACTTCATCCTCAAGAGGAGATATGATGAAATGATATCGTATGTCAATGTGCTTAGTTCTGGAGTGAAACACTGAGTTCTTTGCCAGATGTATTGCACTCTGACTGTCACTGTGCAAGACATTCTCTTTTTGAGTGAAACCCAACTCTGCTAACAATCCTTGAAGCCATATCAATTCTTTACTAGCTTCTATCACTGCTACATACTCAGCCTCTGTAGTGGATAGAGCAATAATCTTTTATATCCGCGGCATCCAACTAACAGTTGTAGCTCCGACAGTGAAAACATAATTGGTGGTGCTCTTCGGTGATCAACTTCACCTCCAAAGTCTGCATCTACGTAGCCCTGTAACTTTAGATCTCCTTTTCTAAAGTACATACATTTTTCTGTTGTGCCCCGTAGATATCTCAAAATCCATTTGACTGCTTCCCAATGAGCTTTTCCTGGATTTGACATAAACCTGCTAACAACTCCCACTGCATGGCCAATGTATGGCCTCGTACAGACCATCGCGTACATCAAACTTCCAATGGTTGAAGCATAAGGAATCTTAGCCATGAACTCTTCTTCTTCTTTTGTTTGAGAAGACTGATCCTTGGATAGACGAAAATGGCTGGCCAAAGGTGTACTGACTGGCTTAGCCTTGTCCATGTTAAATCTCTGCAAAACACGGTTGATGTACCTGCCTGAGATAACTGCAAAACCCCCTTTTGCTTATCTCTCGTGATTTGCATTCCAAGAATCTTCTTTGTTGGGCCTAAGTCCTTCATGTCAAATTCCTTTGACAACTGCATCTTTAAATTTCTGATGTCTTTCATATTTGATCCTGCTACTAACATGCCATCGACATAAAGTAGCAATATGATATAGCTGGACTCATATTTCTTGAAGAAACAACAGTGATCAGCATTGCACTTTTGAAAATCTTCCTGGTGCATGAAGCTACCAAACTTCCTATATCACTGTCTTGGAGCTTGTTTCAGGCCGTACAAGTTCTTTTTCAATTTGCACACCATATCATTCGTTCCTTCTAAAAAACCTTCAGGCTGGTGCATATAGATCTCCTCATCTAGGTCTCCATGAAGAAATGCAGTCTTCACGTCTAATTGCTCTAGGTAGAGCTCTTCGCTAGCCACAATACTTAACACAGTCCTGATAGTATTGAGCTTTACAACTGGAACAAAGATTTCATGTAGTCAACTCCTTCTTTCTGCTGAAATCCTTTGACAACCAGTCGGGCTTTGTATCTTCTGGAACCATCATGGTCTTCATTCACCCGATACACCTATTTGTTGTGAAGTACTTTCTTCCCCATGCGTAACTTGACTAATTATCGTCCTTTCGGTACCAGATTGACTAAAGGCCCAACTGTAGGTTGACCGCGCGTCGCAACGCGGCAAAATTAAAATTTATATTTTCCTCGACTAACCTCTACTAACTAGTAGTAGTGTTGAGCAAGGGTCGATCCCACGAGGAGTGTGAATCAAATCGTGAATTTTCTCGTATTAATTGAAATTATAAAAAGTGATAAATGAGGGGATTTTGATTTAAAAACTAAATTTATTAAAAATCCTGATAAACAAAGGAAATAAAAATAACATAGAATAAATAAAGAGAAGTTTCTAGTTCACGGTTCCGTCTACACCCTCGACTGACTCGTCTAATCAATTCTGGTATCAAATCTCGCTATCTTATGAAATTACTAGCCCTAGGCAACGACACGGTCAGTTACCCGAATTTTTCCTTATTTTTAATTTAACCGCGAGACGCTCTACGATTAAACCTGACTTCTTGTACAGTCCAGAAAAAACATTTTCAAGATTTAATACAATTAGCCACTTTACGAATTAGAAAAATAGGCTCTAAGTAGTGAACTCAACCGCGTTCGCTCACTTAAATAGGCCGTGTTATCCCCGGTAGTTACCATCTTTCGGTTACCTCTTATGAATTAAACACAACAACAATTACGGATTGCAGGTCTAATTCAGATGTAGATATGAAAAGCCTAATCTAGGTGATCAATCTAAACAAGACTATCACATCATGGTGAATTATTTAAAATAACACAAACAATTCCAAAAAGATAACTCAATAATCAACCAAGAAAATCAATCAAACATCATCAAGTCGTAGGGTTCGACTTCCCCGGAACTAGAATAAAAGGACTACTCTAACATAATAAATAAAAAGAAAAAATAGATAAAAAGAGAGAAATTAATTATCTCCCTCGTGTACGGGTGCGGCCTCCCTCCGCGTTTGATCGGGTTACTCACGTATCCTCTGTCCGTATCTCTAGCTGCGCGTTCTTTTTTCTTCTGTTCTGTGCGTGATGTCTTTTTTTCTCCTTCTGTATGTATGTGTGGCGGCTTTTTGTGGCTGCTTGCGTGAAAAATAAAACTCCCCCGTCAAAAGTAAATCCTTCTCAATATATTATTGCCTTCCAATTAATTCTTTCCAATATAAATCCTAAGTGATGCTTGCAAATAATTCCACCAATTATGCATATGGATTGCTGCGTGAAAGTCCAATTTCTCCCAATTCAATTCTAATCCTTGTTGGACCATGTAAATAATCTCAGCCCTTCTTGCGTTAATCTTCCAGGGCTCCAAATTAATTATCATATTGGGCTTTAATCAATTAACATTAGCCCAACTCACTAGTAATTCCTTAGCTCGTCTCGTCGTCCGTGAAACTACTCCAATATCCTAAAAATAAACCACAAATATATCATAGCACTTAAATCCATCCATTAAATAAATAAGTCGAAAAATAATAAGTGCGATAAAATTAAGCATATAAAAATAAGCTAATAAATATATAGAATACACACTTTTTCCAACCAATCATAGGTGATTGTGATTTGGGTCATGGCTAAGTTCTTAATTTGGGCCCAAATACTAGAATTTTTGTCGAGGAAAAATATATATAAAAAAATGGGAGCCCATAACTTGTCTTATTCACGTGAATGGAGAAATAAGATTGGAGAATCAATTTTGATTGGTTAAGGAGGTTAACTTTGAAGGGGACTTATTTGTGAAAGGCAATATTCAGGCAGCCACGGGACTTATTTGCGCACGCAGAGCAGACAGAAAAGAACTCACGCACAAAGAAGACGCACGCGCACAGGAAGAAGAAATAACACACGGAGGGAAGCCATCCTGTACACGAGGGAGATTATTATCTCCCTTTTTTATCTATTCTTTATTTTTATTAGTATGTTAGTCGGTTTTGCTATGGAGCCATCGGATAGCTCGGCTTATAGAGCCGTTCATAGTTATCCACAAATGGTGTATTGATACGTGTCCTGCAATAAATGCACATTGGACACGTGTCAATACATAAAGTTATGGATGGCTCCATAAGGAAACCATCCGATGGCTCCATTGCATTTCTGATCTTTGTTTATGGATGATTAATTATGACCCCGTATTTATTTTGTTGATGAGTTGATTCATGCTATTTGTGTATAATGTTTATGAATTATGGTGTTTGATTTAGTTAGGTCTGCTAGGTTGAATATTCATAGTTTAATTGCTAGATTCGAGACTTTAATCCGTAATTGTTATTGTTCTCGTTTCGTTAGTAGTAAAAACTAGAGGTCGTGCATCTCTAATGTAGCATGAACATAAGTTAAATGGTCCGATCTTTTGCGTCCATTTCTTAGACAGATCTATTTTCCTACGAATTAATGCTACTAGTGTATTAAATCTAGAGAGCTTATTCTAGGTTGTCCACTAGTTAGGTTTAGTCGAAGAGCCTATTTCGATTAAATATTCGGTAAGGAAAAATTCAGTTAACAGAGCTTGTTGTTAACTAGGGTTGGTAATTCATTAGCAATTTAAAGAAGGCGTCGAAAATTAATTAACAGAAGATTTAGGTTAGGTGATAATTGAACCGAAAACTGTACTTCTCTCATTTTATTTTATTTTATTTTGTTACTTTTATTTTTATTTTTTATAAAACCAATCCTTTATTAGTTTTAATTCGATTAATACGAGAATAATCACAATTTAATTTTTGCTCCTCGTGGGATCGACCCTTACTCCGCCACTACTAGTTAGTAGAGATTAGTCGAGGAAAACAATTATAAATTCAAATGTGCCGCGTCGCGACGCGCGGTCAATGAGTAAGTGTAGAAGATGAAGCACAGAGGAATCTCTGTGTAACAGTGTATAATAGAGAATATAATGGCTAAAATCGCATGACTCATCCCTATTTATAGGGGTGAGGTACCTACTTCTAAAAGGCTGCCCGAATGTGGTGAGTTGGCTGCCCAAGCTGCCCGTTAGTACAACCCGCACTACCCAGTGTGTCAGAGACGGTTATGAGACATAGATCAATCAGATGGCGCCATGTGTATCTTCTCATGTGCTGCATTAATTACCTACTCTTCATTAAATGGCCTAATCCTGCGTCCGAACCCATTTACCTCGAGGTGGAACGTCATTGGTGTTGAGCTCTGTTATCCCATTCACCTGGTCGATCCTTCGAGCAGGTATTCTTGCGATTCGAGCTTCCACCAGGCTCTTCATGGGCCTCTACTCAACCTGTTAGTGTCCTTCGCGTCATTGATGTCCTTTTCGACCCGAAAGTCTCTCGACCAAAGGAATCTTCATTCTCCGCACGACCTGATAACCATTCTGGTTCAGTTTTGTTGCCTCTCCGGTCTAGTCGACCTGTTGTGGTTATTCCATATCACAAATTTTCACCGCATAATTTACCAAATGCGAGAACTATTTGTATATTCAAGAATCGAATATCCAAATTGAACGTCGCATATTTTATGTTATAAGATATTTTTTCGCAAAGTTTAAAAAAAAAAAAAAAAAAAAACAATTAAATTACCATGCGCGATAACGTTTTGCATATTCAAGAATCACATATACAAAATGAACGTCGCATATTTTATGTTATGTGATATGTCTTTGCATAGTTTATGTCTTGCATATCCAAATCCACGGCTTAAGTTACATATGCGAGAACTTTTCGCATATTACTTTATCGCATATTTGAATCAAACGTCGCATATTTAATGATTATGCGACAAAAGTTTGCATAATTTACGATTCGCATATCTAAATCTATAACGTCGTATAACTAACGATTATGTGTAATATATTAGCATATAAGAGTCACACATCCAATTTGAAAGCCGAATAATTTAGTACTATCAACCATTTTTTCGCTAATCCATATCATGAATTGCAAGCTCGAGAAAAATATTTTGCATATTATTTACATAGTTTATGCACCGTATGATTGTATGATTTTTCACCTAAATAACTTAGACAAATGGCATGTATATTCATTAGTTTTTTATGAATTTCAACTTTCTTGTTGATTCCAGGAGTCTGAGTGCGTGGTGATGTTGGTCGTGTTAGTGTTAACTACATGTGCTGGTTATATGTGGGCGAGGTAAAATAAATTTATTTTTTATTTTGTTCATAGATTTTGCTATGCGGTCATAACCTTGAAAACTCAAGAGGAGACAGACGCTCATGCATTTTTTCATTGCTATAGATTTCCTTGGTATCATGAATGTTACGAGGTTTTTACTGAGCGCAACGTAGCGACTATCAACTTGGAGAGCGAGCCTGGTGCTTCGGTTGGTGACCCAATCTGGGGAAAGACATAGGCGGTGATGGCATTGACAATAACGGTGATGATCAGATCCATCTGCCGCCACCACATGTAGAAGTCATCGATCTCGATCCTTAGAATCCATCGGAATAAATTGGAAAACCACATGTAAATCAATTTATGTTGATCATCTTATTTTGTTGGTCTTTGGGGGCTGCAGCAACAACATTTTTTTTTTTTTTTTTTTTTTTTTTTTTTTTTTTTTTTACTATCATAAGTAGAATAAAATGAATTAAATAATATACTTCTCAGAAGCTGAACCCATGCTGGAAGCCGCTGAGTCGCCTACCAACGGACCAGTGTCGACAACCATTGGTGTCTCGCCGCCACTGATTCTCTTTCAAACGCTACAATAATGAAATCACGAACAATTTCATAATCATTCATGTCGCTCATCTTTTTTGAACAGTTTATTAGTTCTAATTATGTGAAGTAATGTCGGAAGATTGAAAGCCGATTTTTCGACCTTCACTCTTTTTTGAATTTGTTATGTAGGGATATGTGTGAACCGCATAAAAGTTAAAAGTAAAAATGAAAGGTAAATGTATGAATTCTTTTTTTATAGTGTCTAGTAGTAATTTTAACATCCCATGTCCTAACTTGCTTAATATAACGTAACTTCCAGTGGACTAGCATTTGTTGGGTTTTTGTCCACTCATCAATATACGTCACATATAATGTATACATTTTGGACATTTTTCCATATTTATTCTTTTATATTTCTTTTCACCCAAATTAATTACGATACAACAAATTAATTTATGAGTTCTTAATAAAACGTAGCTTCCAATGTCGTTTTTCGCCATTTTCGATCTTTGTTAAAATTTTGGTATAAATAGGCAAAATATATTTATTTTACCAAATTGATTCTTAGCAAAAGTGAGTTTTAGTATAGCAACAGTTCGAACACTTGTCCAAATTTAAATGGATCAATACACTATCCATGTTGATGTTGGTAGCACGCAATTTTCCTTGTCAATCCCTCTACCATTGGGCAGATGGGCTGTCCCTTTTTCTAACCCCCTCCATCTCTCTTTTAAGTACTCTCCCAATTCACAAAGCTACCATTTTTTCGTTCTCTCTAATACTCACAAAGCGTAAAATCCCACTAAAAATCCTTCAACTACTTAAAGCAAAAACCTTTCTCTTCTCTTTCTTCATTAGAGTCTTACACAAAAAATCGAACCATGGCGTCGAGAAGAAAACAGAGGTGGTGCCCTCAGCCCCTCACCCCTCTAATGGAAGGCCCAGATTTGGAGATGGAGGATGTTGACGACGGCGCCAAAAAGGAGAGCTCTTGGGAGGCCATACGCGAGTGGTTTGGCTTACACAAAAACGCACCCAGCAGCTTCTCGTCGGCGTACCAGAGACAAGACCTCAGGCTCTTGCTCGGCGTCTTGGCCTGCCCGCTCGCCCCCATTCCCATCCCAACCAACCCCACTTTCAATCTTCATATCAAGGATATCCCTATTGTGAGTACACCACATTTCCTTCTTTTACTGTTTTTGGTGAATTTGTTTGGTTCAGCCATTTCGTCGAACACGTTGCGGGCAGAGGATTCTTTTTAGGACAACGGGACTAGAATTTTGCTGGAGTGATGGGATTTGGATTTCAAACTCTTAAAAATTGTCCATTACATTATCGATTGTTGTTTTCGGATTGTGATTACTAGAAATTGAATTTCAATGATTGCTCAATTCTTTATCAGCTGTGGAAGGAATTTAATTGAATTGAAACAGTATGCTATGAGCATAATTTTACGCATAAAACAACTTTTATCTGACTATTTTTTATTGTTTTGTACTTGAACATATAACCTATTTTGAGCCACATGGTGTAGTAAAATGAATGCAAACATACATCTCATTCATGTTAATTATTAGAAACTTAGAGTAGCCATAATGATATTTTGATTTCTCATGATTAATTTAGATCAACATGGTCGTCCTGATGAGATCTATGATCTTACACCTATATTGTGTGGGTTAAAGAAAAAAAAAGTAATATTACGTTGTTAGAAATAATTCAGATTGGCTTAGATGAATAATGAGTAGGATTTAACATTTAAACTATGTAACTACATACATATATATTGTGACTTGTTTGTGACTGTGTTTGGTAAGCAAATAAGGTAGCTTATAACTTATTTGATTAGCTTATAAGTTTCGTGTATTCAAATAAGCTTGGTTTGGTCTGACAAACTTTTTTTAAAAGCTCAAGTTTAAATCATAAGCTTCTTTGGGTATCTTTTCAAATAAGTCCATTGATTTTTTTTTTTTATTTATTTTAGCTAACTTATTAATTAATTTTATCAAACACTTTTATCATATAAACTAATTTTTCAGTCATAAATCATAAGTTATTAGTTAGAAGCTCGAAATTTACTTAGAAGTTATAATCTAGTTTTTTAACTAGGTTTACTAGACATAGCTTACGTGTTGGTGTCCTTCCAGGAGACGTCAGCCGCGTATTATATTATCCAACAATACCTAGCGGCCACCGGGTGCTCGAAGCATGTGGGCCCCACTACTAGGAACATGTACGCATCGGGGATGGTGAAGATGGTGAAGTGTGAGACGGAGGTGTCGAGTGGGAGGGGCGTACGGACGATGGGTGCGGGTTCGAGGTCTTCTGGCGAGACAGGTTGCTTCGTGCTTTGGCGGATGTCTCCCGATATGTGGTCGCTTGAGCTGTCGGTTGGCCGCACTAAAGTGGCGGCAGGCAGCGACGGGAGGACCGTGTGGCGGCACACACCTTGGCTTGGTGTGCATGCGGCTAAGGGGCCCCAACGGCCTCTACGCCGCATTATTCAGGTATCGAATTTCGGCTTCTTTTGTTTTTCAACATTTTTTCCAATAAAATCAATCATCGTAAAGTGATGATGTCCTTATAGAAATGAATTTTAATTTCTATTAGGAAAAATAATATAGGGGAGAACTACAGTCCCGTTACAATATTGTTTCGTCGGTCTTTTTAATCGTAGATTATCTGCACATCACTGATCTACATGTGTATCTATGGTTAAAAACGACGGAACCATACTGTAACAGGACTGTAGCCTTCTCCAACCTTAAATGTTTGATTTAGAAATGTCTCTTGGTAATTGTGCTAGTTTAATTTGTTGATGTGAACTTAGTTATTTGTAAATTTTAGGTTGTAGAGAAGTAAAAAGGTCTAAAAGCCCCTAAGGGAATTTTTGAAAGAAGATTGTTGGATACCAAAGTTGTTGAAAATCAGTTTGAATGCTCTGATTTCTAAAAGGAAGAATTTTTCGGAGGAAAACAAATAGGATCTATGATGAGAAACTAAAGTAACACACTTTAATCTTTTATAAATCAAAAGACAACCCAAGCAAAAAAGAAAGATAAAAACGTATTTATAGGGCTACGAGATATATACTACTTAGTAAAACTTTTTAGGTTTAAACAAACTCTGGTCTAAAGTGCAGTCTGTATCTGAAGAATGATAGATTACCCAAAATTAGCCCAAACAATTAAAGTTAAAATGAAGGAAATAAAATAAAAAATCGGCTAAGTTTTAGCAGTGGAGAATTAAATAGTGGACACGATAGATTTGAAACCTGAATGTCCCCAGCTTTACCCAACACTTATTATCTTTGGACACATTCAAAACTCAGGAAAGGCAGAGCACGTGATTTAATCTCACCTACAGATCTAATAGCTATACTTAGTAGTTACATCATCTTGGGATTGCCAACCTACCAGCTACCTATCCTGTTATTAAAGTCGCCAAACCATGTGCTTTTGCTTTTGTTGAAACTCACAGATGACTGAAGACCCAAAAGCCAAAACGATAGTCTTATATCAACATTAAAGAAAGAAAAGCTGCTAACACGAGATTATATAATGTAGAAGACAAATGTTGTTTATTGCAAAATTGAATACCGTAGTGTTGAATTCTTTAAACCTTGGACACAATAGGAAAGAAATAAAGAAAGAAAATAGGATACACTAAAAATTATAATATAAAAATACTAAATTGAGTTATAGCGGTGGAGTTTTTGCCGAAGACCACTTACTCAATTAAGAAATTAATAAAAAAAAATGGATAATTTGTTAAGAATGCATATGACATAATTGTATATTTAGGATTCTTGGAGAGAGAATGAATTTAATTGAGAATAATCCACGAGTTTAAG